AAAATATCCACTCCAAAGAAAGTTACGGCAAGTAGAATCTGGAAACGAGTGATTTTTCCAGAATTTACCAACGCTTTTTTCTCTTTTGAAAAGAAGTCTGCGGCAGCTTACTAGCGCACTATAATGCACAAGAAGAGCACTATCGAATGGTGCTTACTGGAAGCTTTCAAGTTGGATAGGCGCTGCGTTACATACTTGCAAAGGGACCTCCTCAGAACAATTTGAGAAAACTGAAAACAAGATATAGATGACATGATGTACGTAGAAAGATTCGCCTTCACGAGATGAACACAGTGCTGCTTTCGAATTTAGAATATATTAATTCCGAAGGAAGTTATGGCGCTGCATAATTTGCGATAATCCGGAATCGCGAAATTTCTGGAATTTCGCGCAATTCCCGTTCTGTGAGTGGTATTGTACATTGCACAGCACGCGCGGCATTCCGCGATATGTGCTTCTCATGCGATTTCCAACCATTTCCCTTTGTCTTCCTGCATTTTGGGACCCGTCATACTTCGCCGAGAAAAGCCCACTTTCACACATATCCATGCAGAATGAGCTCTTAAACTATACCTGCCCTATTTCTGCTGTGCTCAATAGAATGTGTACGTATCCTCTGGAATAAGCACACTGAATGGTCCATTTACACTAAAATTCCAGGAAAGAAACTTATATCCCACAACTAGGCACATCCGTATACTGGAAGATGCGCCTCGCCGAGCTGAGTTGAATGGTACTCTTATATATAGAATTCATGAATTTTGAATCAAGATAAGGTCTTTTTTTATAAAAAGTTAGGCGTTGCGCGACAAAGTTAGGTGACTTTGGCCGCTTTTCCGCCGACTTTTGCCGCGCGACGCGGCAAAAGTCACCTAACTTCGGCGGCGCCGCGTAAGTTAAGTGCCGCCGCCATTTTTTTTCACAAATTACGGGTGGTATTGTAAGGGTAAAGGATATTGGAGCTTCGCCATCTCATCTCATTCAAATAACGGCAGCAATTAGTGCCCTATCAATGAATGCCCTATCATGTGGCAATTTTGATAGAGACCCCAACGTTCCAAAATTGCATGTACAAAGGAAAGAAAGTGAGATTGGTCCCTTCTCTTGCGGAATCGCAAGACCGCGTAACCAATAATCTATCAGAATAATACGGAAAATCAAAAAAAAAGTGGGCGGAAAATGAGCGTCCAAGAAAATGTCAAGATTCAATACTCAAGCGAACTTAACGATGTTTAGACCTGGGCCCTCATAGATGGCGAGTAGTCCCGAGGGGAACCGTAACGCGGTATGTAACAATATTGAGAACAGTAGGAAACAATGGAAACCAAATAAAGAAGCATATCATAATCTTCGCTAGCTTATCATCGTCTTTATCCAATTTGTTATCGTTTCCTGTTCTTTACACACCGCTCGTGAAAGAGAGTCGCCTCCGGAGACTCGTCAACGGTAGTACTGTCCTGCTTGCTTCATTGGGGCTTGCTCTCGGCGCTTCATCGTAGGATAGCGTATAAACATCAGTACGAGTTTCGGCATCGTCTTGCGCTTCTTCGTATCCGGCCCTCCGTCATCTCTGAGCATGTTGTTATTCTTGTCCCTCTTCTTTCTATCTTGCAGTTTAAGCGTGGGTAAGCGCAACGTAATTAACGCTGGACGCTGCCTTGCAGAGTTGCTCCAAAAATATTAGGGCCTGCCGTCCGTGGAGTTTATCCTCCCCTTTTCGAGGGCTGACTCCGAGGCATGTTTCTGGATGCAATCTTGGGATGGAGTCCTCCAGCGGTCCGTAATGGTCCATGACTTTAGCGTCAAATCCTCGCGCGAACCCTGTCAACATCCCAACAACTTCAACGCACACCTTGCAATTTCGCGCCATTCATCCTTGCGTGCTTTCTCGAGGTGGCGTGAAGCAGTCGAGGGTCCCCCCGCATTGCAGGTGCCTCTCGACGGCCTGCAAGTTGCGTCTAATTTGGTCCGACCTTGGCATCTTCTCTGGCCAAAAACATAGCATAGCAGCACTGATGGGTATTTTGTTCAGCTGGTCGGCCATGTCATTGAGATATTTGTATACAAAACTTTGACAGAATCCTTTACGACAACCTCTGCGCACAACTTAGACCAATGACCGTAAATTGAGTAGACTGTTTCTTCAGCAGTCCGTTTTCTTTACTCCATTGGCCCCAAGTGTGGGTTCCATCGCTATAGACGTGACGTTCTCAAGTTCGAATAAGTTCTTCACTTTCTTCGACCTGCAGCTGTCATCGGCGGAGAGTCAAGAGAGTCCGAAAACGAGAGCGAAGTTGAAGTGAAAAGTATGGATTGCCTCAAGGTTCTGAAATCTTACTGAACTCTTGTGTTTATTTTGTCTGACGCGACATTCTTGAATATGAATTGCGTTTGATTGGGAAACTTAAATATTGCAAGAAAGAAGATCATGGAGAGTCGTAGGGCTAAGTTGTAAGGCACTATTATAAGTTGACAATTATGGCAAGAATAAATTGAAAAAAAAACGTTTATTTTCTTCGACTAGTACACCTTTGAGTCTTGTAATGTTATAGTTATGTTGTAGTCCATCTGTCGCTAAGAAATTTTTACATCCATGACCACGCTTGCGAGTACACAAACATCAAAGACGCTATCCGTTTCCAGCGGGGAAAAGCTAATTACTATATTTCTGTAGAATCTCAACAATTCGTCACGGAAGACGCTAATCCTGTCGCGGCTGGCGTAACCCAGCTCCAGACATCAAACATCAAAGCTGGTAAAGCTCTACTGCATCGGCCTGCTAGGCTGGGCTCCATCAATAAGACCATACAGTGGGTGATATGGGTGTGAGGTAGCTGCGCTTCAGAGCTTATTTCCAGACACGATGTAGAATATCACTCGTAGGTGGAAGCCATTAGCAACAGTTGTGCCTGACTATCCCATGTTTCCTGCGTTTGTAAATCTACCCTACATTTAAGTGCTCAGTACCATTGTGACACTATTTAGCATCGTGCACGTCTTCCTACCAAAACATTTGATTATGTCAAAAAACAATGTGTTATCGGAGCACGAAGCCTGCATCTGCTAATCGATTAATAATTACAGCGCATTGAAGTACCCCATTTATCCCAGCAATACAACACACCACAACTCATACAATGGGTAGAGAACAACCGACCAAGATTGATGGGGTAGTGAATATTGAGTTGATTTTTAAGTGATATTCAAATTGGCATCCTGAGGTGCCCCACTAACGTGTGCTAGGCGAGGGCGTGCCCAGGGTACGTGTGAATGCTGTGCGACCAGCCCCCTCAGCGTGAACATTTTTATTGGTGGCTATGGTTGAAGCGCTGCTTGAACGATAGAGCTGCTTGGCGATGACTGCATGCGACTATCATATTAACTGATCCTTTCTTTCTCCGTGAATTTCCGATTTGGTGGCTGCTCCTAGCGCTTCCGTACAAAATCTCGCGTATGCATCACTTTCAACTTCTTCGGCGTTCTTATTTTATTATATATCAGTACATGGTCATATTCTTGCAATATTTAGTTCAGATCTTTTTTCTTCGAGGCGATTTGCTGAATATCGAGAAGGTGCGAGTGAAGCCGATATACCAACACCACATGATAAAATCTTTATCAAGGCAAAACAACAAATTAAAGCGACAAATAAGCAATTGTAGAAAAAACTTGGACATTAAATAGACGACTCTTTTCCTTTTTTTCCAGGATTTATCGCCACCACAAAATAAAATCTTTATCAAAGCAAAACAACAAATTAAAGCGACAAATAAGCGATTGTAGAAAGAACTTGGACATTATATAGACGACTCTTTTCCTTTTTTTCCAGGATTTATCGCCACCACAAAATAAAATCTTTATCAAAGCAAAACAACAAATTAAAGCGACAAATAAGCAATTGTAGAAAGAACTTGGACATTAAATAAACAACTCTTTTCCTTTTTTTCCAGGATTTATTCCAAAAGCTCAGGAGCAATCAGGAACTTTACCGTGATCGCATTGAGACCAAAAATAATCGCACGGTGTTCCATCGCGTTACCATTAATGACTCCAGATATGGTGAATACGCTCAAATCCCGATCAACGTGTAAATGGATCCGAAACGATTACACAGTCCGAAAAACAACACGACTCAAAACAACAAAAGAGAAACAGTAAAACATAAAACCTCTCGATCATTCCTTCACTTCAGAGCCCGCCTCTTGAAGAAGAGCCACCGCCAGATCCGCCTCATTTTCGAAGTCTGCTTCAGACGCTTCTTTACAAAGTCCCGAAAGTACATCACCAGGGTAAAGCGGGGGGTGCGGCACGCCGCAAGGGGGGGGGGGGTCGTAAGGGGGGTCGTATCGACCCAAGGTCAAAAGCGGTTTCTAACGGGAAATGACTGCAGCTAAGTTCTTAGACGTGCCACGCTCTTTCCCAACTACCTCTGACAACTCAGGTTCAATAATTGAGAGAAATACTAAATGGAGTCTTGATTTAGGTACGAGTTGTGTTTTCAATAGAATTTCTTGAAAAGGAGACCAGTGAATGGATGATAGTGTGACGACCGACGTGTGATGTGTGGGAAAGTGAAGATCTCGTCAATAGAAATGCACGATACATTTGAAGAGCTTGTGTCGGGAAAGAGGAACTTACGCATATTGTTGTTGTGGTTTTGTGTAAAATGTACCTTTAAAAAAACATTTATCTGTTGTATACGCTAATATAAGGAAATGAATAATGATTTATAAAAATGTGAAGATGCTCAGTCTGTTTTCTCAGAAGATCCGATTGAAAAAATGTTCATCTTAGCAAGTTCTTCTTGCAAAAGCCGGTTTTTGATTTCCTCCTTGTCCTCTCGTGCATTCAGACCGTGAACCACCATGTGGCGCCTTACATGGAGCTTGGCCAACTCATATGCATCTCCTAAATGCATAAAATGCTTTAAATTCTGAAACTTGAAGTGAATCCAACCTTTTGCAATGTTTTCTTTTACTGCTTTCATGAGGCTGCCTTCTCTAGCTAGATTCGATGGCATACCCGGATCCAGCCAGGTATAGTATTATAGAAGCAATCATGCTATCCTTGAGGTCAGGGATGTTACAGAACTGACTAAGTACTTCAGTGGAATCCAAAATTTGCTGTTGACGAAGATTTGGATCAAGTATGTCGCCTTCCATAATGAAATAGCTGGGGCATCCTCTATTGAAGAAGTTTGCATTTGTCGGTACATAGTCAACAAATCCGTTTTCGAAAACTCCGTTGAATTCAATCACATCCAGTATAATGTGCTTATCGAATGCTAGTAGATCAATACTATTGAATTCATGAGGCTTATTCACGAGCTGGGCATCTAACGCTTGCTTCATTTCGTCGTAGAAACGTTCAATGGAAGAATATACAGCATTGTTCCAGTCGAAATCTTCATATCGTTTTGCTAAACTATAGTGCCTTAAGTCACCTTCACTACTTTCTGGAGCATCTTCAAGGCTAAAGGTGAGTTCGGGATTGTCTAGGTCCGGAGGGCTTTCTTCGTAGAATGTGGGGCGAGCCAAGTCTCTGAATAAATGCCAGTCCAGAAGTTGTTGCCGCTCTTCATCATCCCTTCTGAGCAGCGGTCGAGCGAAAAATCTGCGAAGGCTCGAGGATTGTATGCTAAAAGGCGTCTGTCATCTTTGTTAGGGTAGTTGTTGAGGAAGTCCGCATCGATACGTTCTATTTCGTCATTAACATAGGCCTTGATGGTTCCTCGCTCAAGTAAGTTTTTTGTCGTTTTTTCTAATAGGCCTCGTGTTGCTATGCTGTAGACAAGGGCTCTTCACTTTTGTAGGTTGTCAACAAGTAGCCCTTCCTCGCTCTGCATATACTGCGACAATACAGAAAGCTCATGCATGGTAGTGTTGGCGTGATGTAGAGCTATGTACGTCCTCGCATCCGAAAGCACATGAAATGTCGAAGTAGCTCTTTTTATGAGGCTGCTGCTAAAACGTCTGTTATCTCGTATATCCGCCAGTGCCTGTAGGATCACAGGGTAAACGCGAAGTATATTGGAGAGTGAATTGGCAAAACTAGCTGACCATCTCACTGTGAAAAGAGCGCTCATCTGCAAATCTGGGAAGCACATTTTTTGCGCAGCTTTCTTGTACACGCTCCTGCCGGTTGTTCTCACAGTAGATCCAAAGAGATGGTACAAGTCCATGACAATGGCTTGTGCAAGTTTGAATAGTGGACCTTTCTGGGCTTTCACAACCAGATTCAATTTGTGGGCCATACAAACTGAGATTATGAGATTGTTTCTAGGATAAAGATCATCTTTGGTCTCCTCAGCAATTATGTCTTTTAGTTTGGCAAACACTCCCTGAACATGACCGCTCATGACAGCTGCACCGTCGGAAGATAGTGCTAACATTTTTTGCATAGCATGCTGTTTGAAGGACTTGCTGAGACCTGGCTCATTGACCCAGCCTTCCATACTCGCAAAAACTTGTAGTAGTGCTTCCACAATGTGAGTTGCAGACTCACTTTCCACTTCAGTAAGAGAGAAATGTAAGGTCATTAGATGGTAGTCTGTTGAAAGTGTTCTCAGAAGAAACACTATCCACTTCACTCCTCTGCTTGACGAAGAACCGTCTAGAAGGAAAGAAAAGGGTAGGTTGTTCTTGATGACGTATTTTACAAGATCGTACTTCATGTGTACAGCGAATGCAGATATCATTCTGCAGTAGTAGAATCGTGATGAACAGTGACGCCTACAGATCCAGATCTCATCAGACATGATTAAAAGTGGGAACTGTTTCGAAAAGGGAAGGCCCTCTTTTGCTATCACATATGCAGCGAATGTGGAAGTTACTGTAGCTGAGATGTCATCTAGAGTTATTCTTCCAGAAATATCATCGGCTTCTTTTTTGAACTCTTCCAAGCATTGGCTATGTTGCGTCGATTTCTCGTGTTTAGATATCCTCTCTATAAGACGACTGATCAGCCTGCGAGGTCTTTCTTCGTCTTGGGCCTGTTGGGCCATTCTTTTCACACAAAGCACGCTGTTTTCCCCAAGCAGATTTGAAGTAGTCGACAGATCGCTATCGGTTTGGCACTTGCGGAAGCCCTCTTTCGCGTCAAAAGGCGCCGTCGCTTTTCTATTGCAGAGAGCACATCTGAAAAAGTCAGCGCCGGGGTATTCTTCATCTCGGTAATATCGCAAATAATGTTTCCCTTTTAACCATTTGATTTGGTCTCGGTCAGTTTCTCTTCATTGATCGTTAGCTTCTTCAAGTCTTCCTCGACTTTTCCGTTTCCAGCAGATCTCTGTACAGCCCGAATTTGCGCCGCAAGTTTTCGTCTTAAAGCTGCTGTTCAAGAATCTGTAACTCACTTTTCTCCTTCATTTCCTCCCTTATAGTAGAGAGCATGCTAGTCGCTTGTTGAGATTCTATCGCCAGAATTTTTGCTGCTCTCCGAATGCCTTTTGACGAAGTGCAATACTTTGCACAATTTCCAAAAGCTTAGCAACTTTGCTTTCAAGCTTCTCGGAGCGTACGTCGCTTGCAGCAGCAGACGGGTTAGGGATCACTTCTATGTCACTGGTTCCAGGCATGTCAAAAAAAATCTCCAAATCGTCGTTAACTGGTGATTGGGCTCGCGGGGAAAGGTAAGATGGGCTGAGTTGCGACGAAATTGTGGTGGATGCTACTCCCGCGGCATCTTCGCGCTGCCTTTCTTGCAAACGTCCTTGAGGATCTGGTCTGATCGGGTCATCTTCACGGCGAGCCCATTGATCCAAGAAAATAGTATCCTCGTCATCGCAATTGTTGTCATAACCTGGAGTTTTACTGGTGAGGGCCCACCGGTTGCCACACATAGAAAGGGACCTTTGTGCACTAAACTGCTCGGTATCGAGAATATGAAAGACCATGTCCTTAGAATGTTGTGGCCACATCTTGTCAAGGTAGTTCATCGGTGTCACTTTGCTGACATTATCCGATGGACTAAGCACAACTATATCTACCGCTCTGGATGATATCCATTTCTGTTTGTCTCCTGTGATGACTAAGTTATCTGGATTGTAGTACAAGTTGCCTGATTGCGTGGTTAGTACGTAACTGAACATCGAAGCAAAATCGGCTGGATCTTTCTTTTTGAATTTCAAAAGCACAAAAACTGTTTGTCCTTCGAGATAGTGATGCTCGCTGTGTATACGTGGAGCTGGCGTCGATCTGCTGCGACCGTAGAATTTCAAAAGATCTTGATTCTGGCTAGCATCGGCCACTTGATTGCAATACGGCCAATTGACGAATCTACTGCACGTTGCCATTTTTCTCCCACCAGTGAAGAAATTGAAGTTGATTTTTTTTACTCCTCGGGGGAAGTGGCCGGGAGGGACGTCGTTATCTCCTTCTGCACTCCCAACCGTAAAAAATGCTTGATATACCCTGCTTGATTTGGGCCACTTTTCGTTGTTGAAGTTCACGAATGTTGTGGATTGAAAGTTACGCTCGTCTCCCATATGCATTCAATAATAAAGATACTGGCAACGAAATTCTGTAAACTCACCAAGGATGGTTTTGTGTTAAGCACCAAGATTCCATAGCTATTTAGTTTCAAATTCTTCATCTCCTCAGCGTTATAGCATTCTTCTCTAACACTCAATTCAATGAACTGTTCCTCATGGGTTGTAGCAAAATGTAGAACCGACATCTCGTTGAAATGTGGATGACATGGAGTGGCGAAAAGGCAAGGGATAAAGAACAAGTTCCACATTCCAGCACACTGCAAATAACACATATAATATACGCTTTTTTAGGTATATGAGCCCACCATTTCCAATAATGCCACAGCTGCTCAACCGCTTCAAAGTGTTTGGGCTGGTCAAATCTAGAACAAATCCCTCACGGACTATGCACCTGAAAATAAGGCTTCAAATTACTTAATTAATATTAATTCAAAATTACTTAAAATTTCCTTCGAAATTTATCGAATATATTCGAAAATCAAAAATACGGAGTTGCATTGAACATTGAATTCACACAATTTACACACAGAGATTGAATATTTTATTGCTATCAAAGATAGAAGTCTAAGGCGGATAGATTCCGCCTTCTTCTCCAGGGATTAGGTTCTGGAGGTCGTACCGGTTCCCTTGCTCCCCTGGCCGCGTAGTAGGATATGGTAGATTGACTCGACAAACTGGATCACCGAAGTTTACTCCTTGATTCAACTCAAAACCACCCGTTCTGAATCGGGGGGGGGGGGGGCCTCGTCCCTCGGCTGTGGAGCATTGGAGCTGCTTTCACTCATTTCTATAATGTTAAAGTTGAAAACTTCGAAATCAATATAGAGTGGTGGCAAATCAGAATCGTCCAACCTGTGAGCTTCGATAACAAAGATGGAAATGTTGACGTGTCCTTTTCTGTGCTGCCGTCTTTACACAATCGGTTTATACACAACTAATCTGATTATGATTGATTGCTGATTATTTCAATTGATGAAGATGGAGGTGATGTAACATCACCTCCATCTTCTAGTTTCCTTAGTAACCTCATTCTTTTCAAGTACAGTCCTTCATTGATGTTTGGAGATTGGCTCCTTCCTCCTGACCTGTAGACTGAAAGCAGATGCGATGTGTTCGAAGCCGCTCCTCGAAGTTGTTCTAGAAGTATCCGAGTTTACAATCTGTGCAGCTTACACTCCTTTCTGGGGACTCACTCCAAAGCACATGACGGAATCTACGGCGGGATGGTTTTGGAATGGCATCATCCAATGATTCACACTGCCCAATTAACTTAGTGGGTTCTCTGGCTGAATCCATCAGCATTCTGATGTTCGACACGCATTTTACGAATCTCATCCCATTCATGTTTTCGCACCTTTTCGAAATGTGTGCGAAAGAGAGCAAGCTGCAAAGCAAGTGAGCAGATAAGGGCAACAGCTGCTAAAGTAAGATCGAATGGCGGATATGAGCGCTTTATGATATGTAGGTGTAATTATCCATGTACATTGTCCATTGAGAGGAAGGTTTAAAAGCATTTCTAGAATCCACATGCCCTCTTCGATTCTTCTTAAAATTTATGAATTCACGAATTCATTTTACGTTCATCTGGCGTCTCCTTTACAACCGTATCCTATAGTTTGGCCTGTTTTGGTTCAAAAGGCGATCACAAGCTGCATTTTAAACATGGGGCATGAGTAATGTTGATGTTGACAGCGAAGATTGTAGTCATCGCTTGATTTGAAGTCTCCTCGTGTTCTCTTCTATCATAGATCCAGGCTAAAACTGAGAGAATTCCATGCGGCCAAAAGCAATTTGTTGCACGTACATCACTAAGAGGGAGGTTGGGCTTTACGACCGCGTTCGCAGCAGCTCAGGAATCGAAAGGAATTCTGAAGTAGTCGTCACATTTACTAAAAGTATTCTCTTATCCTGTTCAGAAAATATGTGGTAAGCTTCTTCCATTGCGATTATGTGTGGGCGTACCAAATACAGCATTTTTTTGCAAGCTCAATTTTCTGTGCCATGCAGTGAATCCAGATTATTGGTGTTGGAAATAGCATTGAACTTGAAAAGCGAGTTAAAGTCCTGCTTATACCCTATCTTACAAATCTCTTTTCTCAATGGTTACATTATATAATTAGGGGTCAAAACTAATTCATTTGAATTTGAAAAAAAATAAAAACAGGTACGTGGTCAATATAATGGTATGCGAAAAATTGTAAGAGATACGACATATACCCTGGTATTCCTCTCCTTTCATATTCTGATGTAAGTTCCCTTTTTCCAACTGTCGGTACGCCGTCCATCAAACAGTAGTGTTGGGAGAAGGTAGAAGAAGATTAGTATTCCCATTTCTACAACTATACCTATTATTCCTATGGTAGCATGATGGGAGAAGGTACAAGAAGATTAGTATTCCCATTTCTGCAACTGTGCCTTTTATTATTCCTATGGTAGCATGATGGGAGAAGGTACAAGAAGATTAGTATTCCCATTTCTGCAACTGTGCCTTTTATTATTCCTATGGTAGCATGATGGGAGAAGGTACAAGAAGATTAGTATTCCCATTTCTGCAACTGTGCCTTTTAATATTTCTCAATAGTAGCATGATGGGAGAAGGTACAAGAAGATTAGTATTCCCATTTCTGCAACTGTGCCTTTTATTATTCCTATGGTAGCATGATGGGAGAAGGTACAAGAAGATTAGTATTCCCATTTCTGCAACTATGCCTTTTATTATTCCTATGGTAGCATGTTGGGAGAAGGTACAAGAAGATTAGTATTCCCATTTCTGCAACTATGCCTTTTGATTTTTTTAAATTTGAACAGATAAAAAATATTGAAAGAAATAGCCAGAGGTATGCGGAAATTGCAAAAGATACGACTTATATCCTGTTTTTTCACTCTTCACGCCAACATTGCGGCGTGCCTAGTATGCAAAATTTTAGATTTCTCGTCCAAGATATGTAGAGACTAGGGTCCCTGGTATCCTAGACATGTAGCACACTTGGACTTGTTGGTATCCAAGGTATCTAGAGCCTTTGTGCTTCACACGTAGAGCCCTTAGGCTTCTCGGCCAAAATATATAAAGCCATTAGTCTCTTACCACCTGCTTATATGTGAGGCCGAGGCATATGAGGTCAAAATGTTGGAGAGGAGCGCAGTAAAGCATTCGCAAAACATGGCGAAAGTTCAATTGTGATCAGCCAATTCTCGAATGTGCATCCATTATCCGGGTCGTAAGTGAGAGACGGCAGGCGGTATAAGTTTGTAGAGATAGCGACTGTGACCAATGGGGCAGAATGCTCTCACTGCAGATGTTGCGAAGATTGTCCTACTTCTGATTCAAATATACATTGCTTAGCTTCACGGCATTCTGCTGCATCAGTTGACCAACATGCCCGAGTAATGGCATTTACAAGCATACAAGTGGACTGCTTCAGGAAATTCACGCGAACAACAGCAAGTTGAATACTAAATGATATTGCCATATTGCAAATCTGTGCGATACGTAAAACAGGTGGTGGACAGAAGTAGTTTATCACAAAATGGGTCTGGAGTACAGAGAGATGTCAAATAGTCAACGTTGCCATTTATGCTCAATGAGAGCAAAGATGTAATATATGCGGACTGAAACATTTTACATATACCTTCAAAAAAATGGACACCAGTCGCTCGTTTGAACTCATAAGGCAAGAATAAGCATTACGACGAGCAGTACGCAATATCAGACAAATAGAATAAAATTAGAGTAGAAAAACAGCTAGATAGTATTGTAGTTAATTACTGAAAATGGCAGCAAGAGTGCAGATAGCGCAATACTGCAAACTTCAAGTGAGTACAATTCTCATACTGCTCACGCTTCAGGAAATCTGATAGGTCCTGATTATGGAATCACGCCAGCCGGCTGCGTTTATAAAAGCCGTCTGCCGCAAGGATTTGTTGCCTAGTGCGATTACAGAATACGCAATAACCACGTCTGCTTCGAATTGTGCGAAATTCGAACACTGTGCTAATGTGAACAATGGAAACCGATGAAGTCATGACAGATGCTTCAGACGGAAAAAGTAAAGCACAAACATTTATTTATTCATATTCCTACAGTTACCAGTAAATCTGTTCTCCTTGCAGGAATCGTTGTTGTCAAAAATCCCTTTGGGAAAAAAGAGTTCGTGCTGAAAGTGCCAACGGGTAACCTTGCTAGCGGTGGAAGAGCTTGGGAGACAAGTGCACTTGCTGAATTGAGGTAAGAGTTACTTGTTTTGCTTTTCGAGTCATGTCCTCTTTTTTTTCGCCTATCTTATTACTTTTTTGGGCCAGTATAAGTTTTGATCATCTTCCTTCTTTGAGCGTAGGTCTCAGCGAATTTGAGAGGTTTGCAAATCCATTTTTCATTCAGATGGTTTGTCGCAGACACCTTGAAGCCGTATATGTTTGTATGGCTAAGCGGTTTGCCAACAAAGTTCGCTAACAAAGAGCTTGCTGACGAGGTGAAATCTGGCTTAGGCAGTATTGAAGAATGCATTGATGGGGTACGCTTACCAGTTTTCCTTATTTGGTTGAGTTCATTTATTTGCAACAGGCTATTAAAGAAGTGCTTGGTGAATGCGTTTCGGACAGATTTTGCAATGATATCTGGCGGCGAGTTCCAGATTTGTTGTTTCCACGTCATGATTGGGCTGAGTTGACCCGAAGGCTGATGCCTCTCATGATCAACCATTTCACCTCAATTCGTTGTGAGTCTTTGCAGTGCTAATTTTTCCCATGTCATTGTAAGATTTAGCAAACTTCGTGGCAGTGTGCCCAATTTTTAGTTTGTGATCTTTGAATATACAACAAATGTAATTTGGGACAAGATTTACAACTTCTGACTCGACTCTCCATTTCAGGCATGAATGTGGTCGAAGCGAACACATGCAGGAGAGATCCACTAGAACAAGGCGACTTCTTCGATCACATTCTCTCCAAAAGATCTGGAAAACTGGAAAAACGGCGTTCTACTGCAAATGCAATGCATGACACCATAGCATACATGTGAGTACATGACATTTACTATTCATCTGCCAACTTTAGGACATCTTGCCTTTTCCAGTTTCTCTCAAATGGGAGATTATTGTAGATTGTTGCATTGTGTTTTTAGCCATCGCAAATTCAATTCATTTCATTTACCTTTAAGGGTCTAGCTGTCGAGGTAAATTCGAGCTCATATCTTGCGAAATTTACTATGTGCAAAGTGAAAACTTCTTTCGCATCTCTTTGTTCTCGAACGCTTAGAGATTTGAATCGCAGAGTAAACATAAACATTAATAGATTCTATGCTAAATCAATATTTTAGTAGCAAAAGCAAAATGTTTTTGCGCTGCTTATATGACAACTACATTACCTGGACCAAAGGCTTATTTCAGGGTAAACGGTCGATTCCAGCTAAAACATCTCATAATCGCTGTGATTCATGCCACGTATGTCAAAGTCGGCAAAGCTTACATTGAACACATTTTGGAGCGTACTGGTGGTCTCACTGTTGAACAGATGGAAGAGGTGAGGCATCCACTGGACATCTATTTCTTTCCATTATAGATTCTGGGTGCGTACTTTGTGCTATCTTGTATATAATTCTGTTTCTTTTTGTAGATTTATGAGGTGTTGTGGGCATGGCTTAGCGCTGTTCCGCTGCCAGATTCCTCTGATCTGAAGCAAATCAGTGACTGGGGCAAAACCTTTCTCCGGAAGTTCATAATTGATCGTCTTACCGAGTCGGTGAGGAGTTATGCGTATCTACCCGTTATCTCCATTCGTAAAAGATAATTTTCACAGATCTACGATATGGCTGTGGTGAACTTTCCAAAGTCTTATCCGACCCTGTCTACATTGAGGAACTGTATGATCAGAGTACTGGAATATGGGAGAGAAAAACTCGTAAACACACTGATTGCCGATGTTGAATCGCAGTTGTTAAACATTGGTCAGTTATCGTCCTTTTAGAGATTTTCTCAATTTTTTGCTCTTTCAGCTGTTGATACTCCCACCATCCTTAATGGTTATTCATTGTGTGTAGAGTCACTCAGAGAACTAGATCCATCATGCGTTATCATGCACAGGGTGTGCAAAGTCATAAAGGAGTATTTGAAGTAAGTTCCTATGCCAATAAAAAATTGCGAAAAATATCACTGTCTCTAGAAAACGCCCCGATACTGTGCGTCAAATCATAAATTACATCACTTCTGAAAAACGAGATGACTTAGCAGCTCACTTGGTGGGTTTGTTATGGAAAATTGACTCTTCTTTTTCTCTCAAGCTAATGTCATGTAGGTATGTCATGAAATTTACATGTCAATTATTTTTTTATCAGAAAGTTGTACAAAAAGTAGAAGAAATATTAGCATCTGGCTGAGATTATTCAAGGCCAATCGTTGCGGTACAATTGTGGATGAAGACGAGTTGACTGGTGCAAATGATGATTTTCTCCCAGAAGCTATGAATCTCTCTTTGTGGAGACACTGGATGCCCGATCCTATCGATGCTAGTCCTGGTAAGTTGTTTTCAGGACTGTTGTGGAGCTTAGATTTAGAGATTTGGCAATGTTCACTCATTTTTGATATCTTATTCAGTCATAAATTGCTTCAAAAACTGGTAATCCTTTCAGGCGAAAGCGGTCGCTTCCGTCAAGCGGCTGATGTCTTCAATATGCTTGTTTCTGTTTATGGCAGTAAGGAAATGTTTGTGAAGGAATATCGGCAACTTCTCGCTGAGCGATTGACGAGTAGCAATACAAAAGATGTGAGGATAACATTCTGAGATGTAACTTGGAGCAATTGGGTTTGAGTTACTGATTCTGGTGCCCATAGACAATCTTATTTTAGCCTATCTTTGAAAGACGTTATCTTGATCTGCTGAAACTCCGATTTAACGAAGGCGAACTACAGCAGTGTGAAGTCATGTTGAAGGATATTCGAGATAGTCAGAGAATAGACAGGACTGCATTAGGAAAGAAGGTTCTTTGGAAGTAACACTAAGTTAGCTGCCTTCTTATGATATTGTTTCAGTGTGTACCTGTATCGGCATGCATCATATCCTCTCACTTTTGGCCAAAAATTGTTTCAGAAACAGTTTCGGTAAGCTCATTGTAGTTCTAAGAAGTTATTATACTTCGCTTCTTAATACGCATATTTTCAGGAGTTTCCTGCTGCCCTTGAAGAAGCGTTAGTGGAGTATGAGAAAGCATTCATGGATCATAAAGAGTCCAGAAAGCTGCAATGGATGAGAGCGGTCGGGTATGTAATATGGCTTCATCATCATAAGCGAATAAATTTTCGATTTAGTTGTGTAGAGGTCACGCTGAAGCTGGGTGACGTGGAAGTTGATAAAGTCGTACCGAATCCGATAGCAGCAGTGCTGTATCTTTATCTGGAGAAAGGTTTGTTGCTAAAATAGATTATGTTGGAAGATTACGGGAAGCGTTCAGGCAAAATTGGTTACAGCTTTCTATGTGAAAGTAATTGCAGTCGTTTGATCTATATATGCTGAGAATCCAACTCTTTCTCGTTCATCGCACTTGGGAAACTAAGGCACTGAGAAGTGGGGTATAACATAGATAAATTATATGGGCTGTCTTTAGTTAGTGGGCTTCTATTGGTTTTCATACGAAGTCTAGGAATCCAATTCTGAAACTTTCAGTAGCCTGCAACGGATATTTTTTATTAGTAAAATCTGTTCTAGAGAGTTGGACGGTGGCAGAGGTTGCCGAAAGGCTAACCATTTCGAAGGGAGTCGCGCGTCGTCGACTGGAATGGTGGCGAACGCAGGGACTTCTGATGCAGGTGCTTTCATCTGTCTTTTCCAGTATGGCTAAGTTTGAATGTCCATTCAAGAGCCTGCCAACTGGAGCAACAGCCGAAGAGTGGTCCTTAGTGAGCAACCCGAACCTGCTTGCCACTTCGAAAGGTGCGGCTGATGAAGAGTCGGATGAGGACGAGGGTGCAATCGAAGAAACAGCTGATGCAATTGACGCGCTAGAGCAGTACTGGAGTTACACGAAAAACTTTATTGTGAGTCAATTACAGTTTAGATTAATGAGTAATAATAGCAGACGAAGCATTTGTAGAATTGATAATTTTTCTAATTTTTTAGGAGTACGCGTATTTGTATTATATTATTCGCGTATTATAGTTAATATTGTATAAAATTTTTCTTTGGTTGGGGGGGGGGCCGGGGGGGGGGGGGGGGAGGGCACCACGCCCTCTTTTTTAAATCTTGGGGTTGTAGAGCGGCGTTGAGAAGTTTCCGAAAAATTTTTCTTGGGCTATGTGGCTAAGGCCACGCACCTTTATTTGAACCCGGACGGAAATCCTGCGACCGCCACTGCCCCATAGCATTGAAAAATCCATGTCACCGAAGTATCCGTCAAACAATTCGGATGAGAGCGTATCCTGCTTCAAAAATGTGCGTTTTCAGAATGTTCCACTCCTGCGTACTCCTCATTCTGCTTTCGAACTTTTTTCCTTTTACTTCTTTTGAACTTGATTCAAGCTATAAATGACATATTGGTGCTTATCACTTAATCTAAGACATTCAATCTTATTCTGTTCAGGCTAACCATGATAACGGTGAGGTGAAAGCAGAACGCATGCAGCGCATTTACCGCATGTTCTCTTCCCCATCGACGCAAGGACCATCATTGGAGACAGTGACAGCTTTCCTTATGAGGAAGGTGAAATTAGGCCTTCTCACATATAATAATGGTTTCTTCCGTGTGGTAAAGGAAAGCGCAAGCAAAGCTAATGAGCGATGATTATGTATCTATGTGCTTTTGGAAAAATATAAGTTGTTTTGAATTTTGCATGTTTTTCCATCAGGTTTGTATCGAGCCTTCCCTGCCTTTGGATTGTTCAGCGCTCCATGTGTTAATCGTTGAACTTTTTTTGCAGCATAGATTGTATTTCGCTGAGATCCGGTTTCATGACAGTTTGTTACCTATTGAAAATATAGTTGCATCATTGAAAGTGACGTCGAGAAAATCATTGAAAGACTTTTTATTTTCAAAAAAAGGCGGATTTCGTTGCTCCATTGGGTGTGCCGATAGTGAAAATTTTGGGTTTTTACTATCGCTTCTGCAGCGATAGTTTGTGTTACATAGTGATGAGGGTTCTTTTTCGTGAGTGACATAGTAGACAGCGTGCATTACGAAAAACCTCGGGTAGACTTATCTCGCTGCGCTAAAGTTACTGCCGTTTCTCCAAAAAAAAATGTTTATAACAGTGGAGACTGGAATGCTTCTCTCCATTGTCTTTTGATCAAAAATCAAAAACAATTTGAGGCTTCCTTGTGTTAAGGTTAATCTGAGAGTTATTTGACACGGGAAAGTCCGTAATTGGATTGTTTTCAGTGCCATGAATAAAAAGTTCTGTCATTCACATTCGAATAACCTCAGATGATTTCTTTCAAGGAAATTCAAAGGCGTGGCCGGAGTTACAGCAAGCGACTTATCTAGTGATTAGTCTGGCGGAAATCAGCAAAGGGGAAAAATTTTAGTCAAACTTCCGCTAATTTAGCAGAAGCTCATTACTGAAAAGTGGTTGATAGCATAACAAAGTTATCTTTGACCTAGAAAAAAAACATGGAAGACTGGCAGTTCAAAGCTTAGGTATCGAGAAATCTCAAGCAGTAAAGTCAACAATTGTACTTTACAAGTTTGAGGTTTTCCAAAGGTGCTGTGCAGATACTATCGCAAGCTACACTGATGAAAAATTGATTAGAAGGTTATTGGGGCGTTTTAATAAGGGTCTGATAAGTAATAATCCAGGTCTTGTGCTCAAATTGATTATTGTGCGTCACATTTTCAACACTGCAACAAGTTATTTGGTTGTGTATGTACATGATCATTCAACGATTACAATGTTTCCCACTGAATTCCTTGTTGTTCATGATTTTTGTTGATTTGCGATAGTGTTGCGCAATCCTGCGCAATCATGCGCATTAGCTTGCTTGTGTGTTTGATCTTATGTGTCGCGGAAATGTGCAATCGTTGTGCAATGAGATAAAGCATTTTTTATGACTGGTGTTACGCCATTCCTTTTGCTGACACTGTTTTAAACATGTTGAACATTCCTCATCTCTTTGCGGTTATATATCTGTTTTTTGCTTTCTTTATCTTACAAAGTGATGAAAAAAGAGTAGAAGTATTTTAACATCAAAATTCCTTCACATGTTATGAAATCGGAACAAGCAAAGGTCTTGTTGCTCTCCTTTTTGCGTCATCACTGGTGGGCAACTACAGATTTTTTTTGTAAAATTGCATTATTACAGGTCCACACAATAAAAGATGTTTAAAAGGAGAAGAAAGGTGAGTGATTGCTTCACAACTTTGAAACCTAATATGCCAAGTAAACCAGCCAACAAAATCTCAAAAAATTTATCTCGGATTCGTAATGATTTATCATATTAATACTCCACAGTTCGATAGACGAAAACCTCTTTCGCCTGAATTGAAAATTCGAGCTGTGCCGATCTGCACAACAATTATCACGCGGTATGCGCCAATTGAATGAATGTTGACGCATTACGCGTTCGTTGAAATGAGTCGCGTCAGCACAATTGTTGATGTTCTTGTCCGCGCGGTGTCCTTCGTTTTATTCGCTTCCTTGTTTTCATGCTTTTGTCTGCCGTTAGACTGTACGATTTCCCTTTTCAATAAAATTTTATTATTTATACTTTCTCGTTTTCGTATTATGTTGCTTTGTTTGAAAGTTCATGTTGTAATGCCCAATTCAGCATCTTTGTACAGTCTCAGTAAAAGTTGAGCAATTTTGCTTGCCTTCTAGTTGCTGTTGTTTCTCACTTGTTCTTTCCATCCGTTAGAACTTATAATTATTGAATTTGGTGGTTTGAGGTTGTTTTTTCAGCACTGTCTGTTTCTCAAAATCAGATACTCCTTTTGATCGCCTCTGTATCACTCATTCTTCATACGTTTTCATATGTAGACTTTTTTGAAATTTCGAACCAATGATTTGCTTGCTCGAATTTTTTCATGCACAATTTCTTGGTGGTCTTTTTTCAAAACTTGCAAATGACGACACCGATGTGATCGAATTGCATCTTTTCATCTCTTTCTTTTCTTCATGATCTTTCTCATTGACAGCCAAACCCAATAGATTTTGTATTTTTTATTCCTTGATCAGGTGGATTGAAGTGTTGCAAGCGGTGATTGAAAACTCGTCATGGCGAGTACATTCAATCCCGCCGACCTCACCGAGGAAGAGCTGGGTCAATTGCGCGGATTACGAAAGCGCAAAATGGAACTAATGGACGAGATTGAACACATCAAAAATGAGGTTAGGCATTGATTATTTGGTTTTGTTTTGTTTTTCTCTATACTTTGGTTCACTTATTGAATGGGTATTCTCTGTCTGAACCGTTTCATATTGGTTAGCTTTATCAACTTTTAAAGGCCAACGTATCTGAAACTTGATGACTTTTCGTTCTTCATTGTCCATCTAATCTAATTAAGAAGCAAAGCTTGTATCATAAGTCGTTTCGAATTCAAAATGCTCTAATAATTTCCATGTTTTATTTTCTTCAGACCTGGGCAGAGTTCTACATTATTCAAAATGCATTGCTCTGTGAATTCCGCAGGAAATTATGCTAGCAAGAGCTATTTGTTACAACCATTCATGTCTCAATGTTGAGAGCAGGCAGTGAGTGGCATCCCATTGTAATTAATGAAGTTGTTGTAGTTGCATGTAGTATTATGCGCCTATAGGTAGTGACATGAACTATTTCCCATCCGTTGCGCATCATCCAAGATACCATGCTTGGTGCTGTAACAAAATTTTGTAGATGTGAAGAACCAAGTGTTCATACTCAAGTTTACTGTTTGCTACTACTTCGGTCATTGCATCTTTCTCATGTTTTCTTAGATGATTTTCGTGCAAGACACCACGCCGTTTGTTACGTAAGCTGCTTGCATTCTTGCAAATGAGTAATTTGCGCTTGGAATGTGTGCAACCGCAAGAATTTTTGCTGCGTTGATTCGTCTTCTCCGGTGCGTCTATGCCAACATGAAACACTTGCAAGCATTGCAAAGTGTAAAGAGAGAATTTCAAGCTGGTTCTGATGATTTCTTTCGTTTTCTTCACTTATCCTATCAAATACACGTCGCTTCGCCAGCTGAATAGATCATTTTTGATGTCTGCATTCTTCTCTGCTTTACCCACAGCGATCTTGTTGTACTGCAGATCTGAGCAAATGCAGAAACTAGCGGAGAAAGACTTATACAACAGATTACCTACCGCATGACTTCCTGATTTCTCCATGCTTCCAGTACATACAAACTCGTCGAAGTTTTAAGGGAATTTTTTCTGGTATAGTTCGAGCTTGATTTTGATCTGACGTGGAAGCCTAGATTACTGTAATGAAATGAGACTTACTGAAGTTGCTTGGTAAAGTTGTGTTATTGTATGAGTTATGGCCCGTGATTCCTCTGATGACATTAAAAAAACTGGAAGATCAGGTTTTCCGGATCTCGCGTTTCATGCACTTGATAGCAGCGCTATGAAATGCTTTGAACAGGTTCGCTGCGTGTTAGCGCCTCAATAGCGTGTAGCCTCGGAAGCATCTTGAGTAAATAAATCGCATTAAAATTGGTTGGAATAATGTAGAATTTAACCTCTACAATAAGGAGTCTAACCTCTTTTTGATCTTCATCATATTGTTTTGTTTCACATATGATTGCTATACGAATTCCATACTGGCTTAAATTTTCAGGAGGTGATAGGAGAGTGAGATTCAAATTTTGAGTCATTAAAGACTTCCATTTTTCCAGTTGCGAGATGTCGACGCTGAATTGGAGTCACTTTACTACGTTGACGAAGGCTCACGATCTCGTCACAAACTCATATTTACTGGGAAGAAGAAATTTAATCAGGACCCAATGAGAGGAATTGAATACCTCACTGATCGAGGGCTACTTAGTAGGCAACCAGCTGCCATAGCTCAATGGTTGTACAAGGTTCGTGATTTGTGATGTTTCTTTTTGGGTAAAAAAGTGTTGTTTGAAGGGCGAAGGTTTGTCTAAAACGGCCATCGGCGAGTTACTAGGATCGCATGACCCGTTTTGTCTTGAAGTTCTGGATCAGTTTGTGCTTTGTCACACCTTCCAAAACATGTTTATTGTTGATGCATTGAGGTGAGCTCTACAAGTGATTTCTCCTCTACATATGCAGTTCTCTTGCTATTTTTTAGTGTTTACTCTTATATATTGTTTCCAAATCTTTGGATTGGTTTCGAACTAGATGTACTTTTTTGAAGATGCGGATTTTTTGTGCTATTCGTTTGATTATAGACCTTTTTGATAATATGCTTCTGTCATTTTCACATGTAAATTGGTAAATCGAATTAAATCTTTGGATATCATCGTTTTAGAGTATTTCTGTGGTCTTTTCGGCTACCTGGTGAATCACAGAAAATCGATCGAATAATGGAGCGATTTGCGCAGCAGTACGTTGCGACTAACGAAGGTTTGTTTCCTACGCTACTTAAAAATGCTTTGCTCTTGATTTTCATCTTGTTTTTCCATATTTTTTTATGTAATGGCGTTTTTCACAACAAATTTCAAGGAAAGCTTTTTATCATGTAATTGCAATCAATCCTTTCCTTTTTCTCCATGCTACGAAAATGATCTAATATACGTAATGTAGACTTGGTTAATGAATATTTTTGAAGGAGTTTTCGATACTGCCGATACATGCTTTACAATCGCTTACTCATGTATTATGTTGAACACTTTGTTGCATAACCCAAATGTAAAGGATCGGCCTACGTTTGAACGTTACCAAATGATGAATAAGGTATTTTATTTTTTGTTTTGAATTATGCGCGCATTCTTCTTGCTTTTGCAGGAGCTGCTTGATGCTGGCTCTGTCAATACCGCATTACTGGCGCAGATATTTGATTCAATACGCACGCGGGAGTTCAAAATTCCATGTGATGATGCGGCTCGATTGGACAATATTTTGCATCCAGATCGCGAAGGTTGGCTGTACAAGCAAAGCAGTAGCCAGTTTATATCTGGGCCACTGTCATGGAAACGTAGATGGTCAGTCAACTTTTTCTTTCTTTTTTTTTCTTTCTTTCTCTTCTCTTTGTTTTTTTTGTTTTTGACTCACCAAGTTGTGTGCAGTGTTGGCAGAGTTTCTCTTTTCCTCTGTACTTTTATCCTTTTTTTATTTGCCGTTTTTTTTTCAGGTTTGTCTTGAGTGACTCTTGTCTGTATTATTTCGAGCAAACAGGCGATAAAGAACCTCGCGGCATCATTCCTCTGCAAAATGTCGGAGTTCGGCGAGTAGAGAACGCATCTAGACCGTTCATGTTTGAGGTTCGTTAGTGTTTCCAACTTTGTGTTTTTTTTTGTTCATTTTACTGTTTCCGATTGCTAGTTCTCCATATATCGAGTTTGATTTCTTATACACACGAATCTACCACTGTGTGGTTTAGTTGCATCTTTTTTTACTAATGATATTTCAGCTTCAAAGTGAAGCTCTTTTATTTTGTAAAATTGAGCTTGTCTTGTGAAGTTGAAATGAAAGAGTATTGTTCAGATATTTTCGCTAAACGAGGATGGACGGATAAAAGCTTGTAAAACGGAACAAACGGGTAAGCTAGTCGAAGGTCGGCATAGCGTATATCGGATCTGTGCCTCAAACTCTGATGACATGAATTCGTGGCTTGAAGCTATTGCTGGTGCGGTGACACACTATCCCACGCGACCTCGAAGTGCTCATTAGCCTGATGGTGCTCTTCTTAGGGGCCTTATTTTGGTCTAATCTCTCGATTTGTCATAGTCGCCCAAGCGCTCAACGATCTTTGTATAGCACATCGTATGAACCCCATTGTAGTCCTGGTGACAAACATGTATTATTGCTATGTGCGTCTTTCACTTATACATGATATTGAATGAGGTGGTTGGGCTAGGTTAGGATGGCAGTGTGAAAGCTTCCTGATTACTATGATTCTTTCGAGGAAATTTGTCTTTACGTACAGGGTATACCAAAAGCAAATAAGTGGTCTCTGACACTTCATTTTGGTTCAGTATTTTTGATCATACAGCTTCTTTCTGAGTATAAACTGTTGGGGATGAAGGATCCGAGTGCAGAAAAGGAAGTGGCAATGTGTTTTGAAAATATTGAAAGTTTGAGTAATATGCTGTAAGTAAATTTTCATTTTTCTCTGAGCGATGCTTGTTTTCAAGCACCTGGTCCGAAGAGCCACCTCACGACTCCCACGACCTGCCTAATCACCCTAATATCCATAAATCATGCGCCGATCCTCTACCTTGGTACTAATCTTTGAGTTCTTTTGTTGTGATTACGCTTAGATTCTAGAGCTTATGTATGTTGTTTCCTTCTTTTTCTATTTTATCCTCTAAGCTTTTTTCCTATTCTTTTTTCTATCAATCGCATCATTTTCCTGCGTTATAATTTGCATTATATTTTAGCGAACTATGCTCATAAGTATGTTTGTTGTGCGACTATCACTGCGCATTTATTTGCTGCGCAACTGTTTTTGTAAATAATGTCCTACGCATTCTTAGCTCAGCTCTTTAACGTCATTGGCTGAATTAGGAAAAGAATACGATCTAAAGGTTGTGACTTGTCTGGTTTAACTTGGCATATTAGAGAGATTGTAGCGGTCACCACTGAGTCGTGATCTGAACGAAAGCTAATAAATAGTACATCGAATCAGGCGTCTGTTTCACTGCATGATGTGCGATGGCAAACAGGTGTCATAGAGGATTTGAATAGAAAACTCGGAATTTGCGAAGAAGGTCGAAAGTATGAGGAAGTTTACGAGGAATTTGATCCATTCGAAGCATTGGGTAGGTTTTATAATGCTTCTGTATATGTGGCTATAGTAAATTTTCAGAGGCTGAGGGGGAACATAAGTGTACTTCGTGCGGCTGGTCCCTGGATGACGAAGATCGTGAGGCAGTTATTGGGCATTATAGGAGTCAATGGCATAGGTGAGAATTATCGCCTTAGATTTTAACTTTGATGTGCAGTTGATGGTGTTTATCTTTTCGCATGCGGCTTTTTCATATTTATCGTCTTTTACTCGAAATCTAAATAGTAGTCACATTCAGATTCAACGTGAAGCATGTCCTCAAAGGACATGCCCCTTTGACTGAAGACGAATTTGAAGAGTTAGGGGAAGAGGAGAGAAAAGGTAGTCAGTATTAAATCTCGCTTCATTCGTACTCAGATGACATGTTGCAGGCGATGAGTCAGCTTCGTCGTCATCGGATTCGGATTCGGACGACGTAGCTGACGATATTCCGTTGAGGCTAGGTTCAAGCCATATACATTTTGTTCACAACGACGAGGTGTTTTCAATGTATCGGTGAGTGTGCAATGGATTTGATCAGGTTTAAAATGGCATTGTTTCTGTTATAATTTAGATGTCTTTTACGACCGGGTGAAACAAGTATTTCACTGAGTATGTTTGCAAGACCTCTGGATTGTGCAATATTTTTACTAGCCGGTGGTCACTTTGCTGCTGGTGTGTTCAGAGAGTAAGTGGATAGTTAATGTAATATGCTACATAAAAAAATGTTTTTGAATAGTCGTTCACTTTGCTAATTTTCATCGATAGTTGTTGAGTATTTAACCTGATTTATCAACATAATACAGTACGTTCTAGTGATAAAATGGTCGCACATAAAGCGTTCCATCGATACGTAGTCCGTGCTAAGCAAGGTGGAGCACAGTCAGCTAATGATAACGCCAAAGGCCCTGCTCGATCTGCAGGAGCAGCTCTGAGGAGGTGGGCAAATGTAGTGATGAACAACTTTCTGCTTCATGTTACAAGAAGCTTTACCGATGTAATTATATGACGAGATAGTTTTCAGGTATAATGAAAGAGCTCTTGGTGAAGATATAATGAATGTACTGAAAACTTGGACAGATCTTTTATCTGCAACTCCGCTCATTTTCATACGATGTGCTAGTTATCAAAGGGTTATATTCCATGAAGTTGACGAAGGTGGTTTCAGCAGAAAAGATCCTAGGCTGAGGTTAGTTTTTGTGGTCATGAAGAACGCTAGCACAATAACTTTTACAACTTTTTAGAACAATACCATTTGAAACGAAGCGTCCTTTGATTGATGAAGTACGAAGAGTTTGGGAACGATTAAGCTCTGTGATATGTCAAGGGTCGGTAGACGACTTCTTGGCTGAAAAACAAAGAAAGAAACAAACGAAGACCTTGATGAAAAAGAAAAGAACGGATGAACATCGGACTAACAAAGACAAAAATGGCAGCAAAAGTCCTCCAAAGGAAAAGAAGGTACTTATCCGTTATTTCTAGGCTCTATTTCTTTGTTTTCCTTAGTAAGTTAAGGTGCATATATCATTCTTCATCGTCACACCTGTCTACATTGCGCATTTAGACTGACCATGTGAAAGCCTTGCCACCCCTAAAAGTCAAAGCAATGGAGGAAGATAATTGGCCAAATGTTGACAAGAATGCCCGTCGAGAGATATATGGTTCTATCAAGCATGACAACTTGGAGTTTTTGACTGCATTAGTTTCTGAACGTAGCGAAGACGAAAGAAGAGAGGTAGTTATTAAACTAAAAATTGAATTCTGAAGTTGGAAGTTCAACAACTGTTGCAGGTTACTGATTACATATGTTCATTTCGTTTGTCAAATCATGGAACATTCCTTCATCTGGCTGCCAAGAATAACTGTGATAAGATATTGCTCGTAAGTAGATTATAGTCGCCCTTACCAAGTAATTGATCGTAGCTTGAACAATCTATATGCAAATTTCTCAACTTTCTATACAAAATTCTTGATTGTTTTATTTATAGTCTTTTTTATCGAAACACTTCTATTTATTTTTCTTTCAGTATCTATTGGAAATAGGCTGTGATCCTTGTGTTAAAAATGACGAGGATATGGTTGCTTACTCACTTTCTCCTAATAAAGAAATGAAGAATGTATTTATCCAGTTCCGCACAGAAAATCCAGACAGATGGGATTGGGTCCGGTAAGTCTTGTCAACATTGACATGCTAGCAGTGGATCATCTATTAGCAGTGTTTGAACTTGGAGGTAGTGGTGCTTATGACTTTTTATTTCCAGAAGCCATATCCCCGAACCTATGCATATGAGCGAAGAGCAAGCTGCAAAACTTGCCGAAAAGAAGAAGGAGAAGAAGCTGAGGCAAAAAGAAAAGACGAAGTTGAAGAAGGAGGCGGAGAAGAAAGAGGCTGAGGAACTTGTATGTTGCTCTACAATATGTTGGTTTCTCTTCCGATTTGTAATGTAGGCTGCTCGTGCTGCATTCCTAGCAATGTCAGATAGAGAAAAACGTGCAGCTGCTGCGGAAGCAAGATTAGCAAAAATTAGTGGCGGCACAAGGTGTTTGCAGGTCGGTTCCTTGTACAAGTTATGATTTCTGTGGTTTTTTGCCTTTACATTTACCGTATTATTTTAAGTTGGCGCCTTAATTAGAATTCTTTGGGTGGAGGACTATATGTCGCCGAATTTGGAAGAGTCCCGCGCGGATTCCCTGCAGGAACACTTGTCCGCGCACTCAGATACTTTTTCCGGCTGGTGACCGGGCGATGACCGGCTGAGGTAACACCTCAATTCCGGGCGAGCCGGCCGCCGGCCGCCCGCCAGCCGGTGTTGGCACGCAAACGGCGCGGACGCCAGCCGGCTTTTTCTCAGCGCAGCGGGTTATTGGGGCACGCCACTTTATAGCAGGTTTAGCTTTGCTGACTATGCTATTCTTCTAATCATGTACAGTATTATACAAAAATTTCTTACAATATTTATTCACTATTTACAAAAAGGGCAAAGAGCGGAAAAAACACGAATGGTATTCAACATATGTAACATACAACATATCAACACAAAATTCATGAACATGTAACAATAACAATATCTTATGTAATAAATAACAATAATAATAATAATAATAACATATTGCAGCACCATATACAAACAGTGACCAAATTCGCATTAGTTTCGAGCTTAGAAACAGGAGCTAGAAGAAACGACCCCGCTCCCGGAATTCGTGACACGTATCTCACAGACGAGTAAGGATTCAGCCGCTTGTACCTACAAATGAAGATCATAGGGATCTTAAGATGAGAAACAACTGCAGTACGTTACAACAGCATGTGCCACAATTGAAGTTATGTTATTCATCCGCGATAAAGATCCATACGCGCATTACATATTGACCATATATTCACTACCAGTTCCAATTCTAGAAAGAAAGATTAGTTCTTGCACGAGGAACACAAACTATGCTCACCTGTTGCAGTGTGCACGGACAACACTGATGAGCAGAATAATCATTTCCATATATGTCCACTTAATCTCCAAACAACAACAATTAAACAATCAACCATGAAGTTGTTACACACTATATAGAGCAGAATGTCCTAGAATGTTCTCCGGAGTAGACAAACAAGCAGATAATACAGGTGCAACCATAGCAGGAACACCATCATTAGTAGTCTCAAGCATTTCAGATGACTTGTGAACTAATGCACTCCGAGCTCTGAAAAAATGTTACGGGATATTCAATTTAATATCTAATAAAGATGTCAAACATTTACCTATGAAGAGTCCACCTTTTCGTGGGGATGAAGCAGACCAACAAAGAAAAATCACGTGAAAATACTGGTAGATATTCTTGAGACAAACAATATGACAGCTAGCAACAACATAGAAGCTTTCCTAGTCTGCTGGAACTGAAAACAAAGATGAGCAATGAAACATGACAATACACGAGCAGTCATGTAAAGAAAGACACACTACCACAAAAATAATCACGAAAAACAAGATTCAAAAGGTCGTGTAAGGCGCGCAGGATGATGAAATCGCATGTTCACTATTAAATCTGACGGTGTTCATGATTTCGTGCGCCTTCGCGCGCTTTTGCGGACACGGCCGGAAGCCAGCCGGTAGCGGTTTCTAGCCCGCTCCTCGGCCGGTTTTAAGCTCTGCCCCAAAACATGGCGCGGCCCTCGGCCGGAAGGCCTTCGTCGCCCGGTCACCAGCCGGAGAATGTATCTGACAGGGGAAGCTTGTTTAGTCGAACTGGCCTTTCTAAATGAAATGTATACCTTATTATAGGACATAAAACGCTGACTCCAAATCTGCCTTTCTTATCTGCAGAGCGTTCATGCATGGAAAGTTATGAGCGTTTTTAAAGCCAAAAATTGAACGTGCATTTTGGAAAAATGAGTTGCTAAAATCTTATCAGCCTTCATATAATGCAACCAAGTTTGATGTTCTTTTATTTGAGGGTATTATTTGAATAAAGTGCTCTGATGATTATCACGGCTCCATTAAAGAGCTACAAAAAATATTGTGGTTGTTTTTGTCCTACTTGCACATTCAGTTTTTTGCCCCAATAAGCGCTCATAACTCCTCGTCCATGAATGCTCTGCAAATAAGGAAGGCAGATTTGGAATCTGCAATTTATGCCCTTTATTATGGTATACATCCCATTAGAAAAGGCTACTTCGACTAAACATGCATTCCTTGTGAGATGTACAAGGGTGCGTATTTGTCGCAAATGACCCCGGGGACCGCCCTTTTTCGGCGACATATAGTCCTCTACCCGAATTCTTTTCTTCTTTTTTATTTTTTGATAACAAAAAATTTACGTGGTTGGATGGTGTAGCATATCTCTCATGGTTTCTTGTGTTTTCGCTTAGAAATATTGATGATTTTCGACATAGGAGTAATGTTGTGTTTTTCTTGCACACATCGTCTGTTTTAGTGCGGTGTCGCCTACGAAGGATCAGGCTTCGAATACAATGAACTGCGGTTTTGCAGTCCAGCTTGTGTTGCGTTGCATAGGAGAGGAGGATCATCTTGATAGAGATTATTTGTTTTTGTTGCCAATTGAGCAATTTCATACGTTTCTATTGATCTGGGGATAAATATTGTTGAGAAACTGTTGCACTCAGATTAGGGTTAAATGCCTTTTTCGTACCGACAGATATACGCAGTGTTTGTTTGCGACTTCTGAGTTGAGTACGAATTTTACAGGGTATTGATGAATGCGGTAGCGAAACGTCTGTTTTCGTTGTCAGCAGCTCGGTATGTTTTTTCCACAATTTTTTCTTGATGAAATTCACCAAAAGTTTTTCTCACTTGACTTTAAGTTTTTTGCACGATATTAAAATGCTGGTAATTTCTAGCTATACCTGACATAGGCTGGATTCGTACTGATCCGTAGGTATCGGAACAGTTTCAGCACAGCGCTCGGACTGTGGCTGTGCTGCGAGTGTCCGAAACTTGCGGGTCAGTATGAACCCAGCCATAGTGTTGATGTGCTCGGAAATAGTGCCTTTCATCGTAGTAGTTTTGAATAGGCATTAGATTTCTGGAAATAAAATGGGCATTGGTGCAGTAACTTCATATTCAGTTCACAATTACCTAAACCGCTCTTAAAAACTTACGATCCTGTGCAAGTGGGATACTTATCTGAGGAATGTATCGCTGTTGACGAAGACGATAATATTGTGGGAGGGGTTACCAAAGGTGATGCGCATCGGGTTGAGACATGTGAGTACATTTTTCATCATGTGGTCGTTTCCATAATTAGTTGATTGGCTTTTTCAGTGTCGTTACATCGTGCGTTTAGCCTGTTCGCCTTCACCCCCGATAAAAAGTTGATACTGCAAAAGAGGAGTGCTGAAAAGGTTGGATTTGATTATTTCAATTTCGCCTTTTTTCATGTTTAATTCGAATTTGTGTTGTATTGTACCCATATGACACGGAACTAGTTTCAGATAACATTTCCCCTATTATGGGCCAATACTTGCTGCAGCCATCCGTTATTCACACCCACAGAGATTGATGGTTCTCATGGCGTTGTTGCGGCAGCGGTGAGGAAAATCGAGCATGAGCTGGGTGTAAATGATCTCAGACCTGAGGATTGTCGAGTGATGGGACGATTTCTATACAAGGTGAGATCGATCTATACCTCAAAACTTGAGTAAGATCTCGGTATAGATTGCATATGATTTCAATTCTGTTGATGTATAGGTGGGCTTTTTTAGGCAGTGATGGAAGACGCGCTTTGGGGCGAACATGAACTCGACTATGCCATTGTGACACGAAACATGGCATTGGATCGAATTGCGCCGAACCCATCTGAAGTTTCTGACGTAAGAGCCGTAGATGAGCGAGAGCTTGCGGATTGGGTAGCGTCGGGTCCGTGTTTTATGCCGCAGTTGTTTTGAGTTTGATATCATTCTGTTTCTTTAGAACCAACTTCGTTCTCGCCATGGTTTCTTCTCTTCCATCGTTTACGATTCTTGTCCGAATGGTGGTCAAACCTGGATGAAATCAAGAAGCATCCTGTTGACATGAATATTGTGCGGATGAACTAAGCTATTTTTAAGGGCTCTAAGTGTTTTCATATCCTTTTCACTTGACTATCAGAAGCAGAGTTATTGATTATTGAAATCATATCGTTGTGGAGATTTTTGGGATTGTGTATTTTGTACATCATACTATAGACTGGGAATCTGGCTACCTACTGTTACCTCGAAGTTTGACGAGGCCTTGAGATTTCTAATTATACCGGCTAAGAAGCAATATCTTTCGCATTTTGACATCGTGGTTATGGCTAAGGATAATCACTTGCATATAAATGATGACATCATTTGGAACTTGTTAATAAATTTTTCGAATTAAGCTTGTTGATTTATCATGATGGTTGAGACCATAAAATCTTGTTGTTGATTACCGACTTCCAATATTATGCGGGACGCAACATCCGCTGTTTTTTTTTCAAGTAGAGCTATTGATTTTGCTGCTTATTTGCTCCATTCATGTAAAACAGGAAGAAACTTTGTTTTATTGTACAACTTGTGTAACTGATGGCAATGCTATTTTTCGAAATTTTAATTGTTTTGGCGACCATCTTTATGACCAACTTCTGGACTTTTGCAATTAGGACAAACTAAAGACTGAAGTAATTCAAAGGCTTGATTGAAATTTGCTTGTTTGTTTCAGACATGCACTCCATATACTCGAGAGCGAATTCATTATTCGCTTTCATGTTATGGGTGCTTGCAGCGGTGACGTTCGCCTGTTTTCTCACTACTACATTCTTGGATTATTCAACCAGTGTAGAGATTACTGTTAACAACCCTAGAGTGTAAGTACTGAGCTATTTATTATTGCTATTTTCACCTTTCCCTCTCTGGATAATTTTTTGATATTCAGGAGATCAATAGCTGACTACTCATCTTCATCTGAGAAAGCTGACTTGGGCATGCTGGATTTTTCCATATCTGGTGATTTCTCCAAAACATTCAATTGGAATGTGAAGCAGTTGTTTGTGTATTTGGTTGCTGAGTATGAGTCACCAGAAAATGTAAGTCCTATCTGCTCGCTGTTTCAAATCGAGGATTTAATTAAAATCAGCATTTTTCAAAAAAATGACATTTTCAGGCCTTGAATCAAGTAGTTCTTTGGGATAAAATCGTGCTGCGTAGCGAACGTGTTGTCCTTGATGAGCGACGGCTTCAAAGCAAGTACTACTTCCTTGATGATGGTGCACATCTTCTGAATCATCCAAATGTCACTCTAGTCTTGAGGTAGAACCCCATTCTTTCACCAATTATTTCAGTTGTTTCATGATTTTTCTTCTAGATACAATGTGGTGCCAAATGCTGGTTATCTGAGGTTGGGACAGGCAGAGGGACAAGCTATCGTGAAGTTCCCGGCCACTTATACGACTAAAAAGCATTAAGTTATTTGAGTTCTTGTTTTTCTGAACTTACGACTGATGGTGTTATTGTTTGTTTCCGGTTTTGTGATTGTATGTTATTGCCTTAGTTCCTTTCTTAGATTTCCTTTTTTTTGTTATTTGCGCATGGGTATCTCTAAATTATTGTTGATAAAGGGAATAAATTTTTTGTCGGACGAAAATGAGGTTTGAGTATGCATGAAGTACTACGGAATTGGGGCGTAGAACGATTCAGATATGAGAGGTAATGGTTAGGAAGTGACATTATAAATAGCGAGGCAACAGTCATGCCTTTTTAATTTCCTGTCCCAAGAATTAAACTTATCTGTCAGGGAAGAGCGTGGGAAGGAGAAGCGAGTAGGACTTTTCAGTGGAACAAACACAAAAAAAAGAACTTGATCGTTACATCTCGCACTTTGTTGTTGAGACTCTGCACAATTAGCCCCGTTTGCTTGAACCGCTCAATATCGAGTCCATGTCTGCAACATATAAAATCGCTATCATATTAAAGTGAAAGGTATATCCAAACCTGAGACTGTCGTATAGACCTCGACACGATACCCAATTGACATCGTGCGTGAAAAATGCGTACTTGATGTAAATACAGTGTACACTACTTACCTCAACCTGTAATTAATATTTTTTCAACTTATATACTTCCTCCCCGTCTCTCTGGAGTTGGGAAAATGACTGAAGAAAGTGTTGGTAAAACTGATTGTTTTTAAATCTACTCGTACTGAAATCCTAAATCATGGGGGTTATTTATCATGCTGATTCCGAAAATGGTACTCATTTTGCTCGATAGTCGTTTATTTTAGCTGTAGCAGCTGCCCGTTACTGAACAGAATCGCTTAGATTCTGTTTAGTTTGTTTTGCACAAGTTAAAAGATGATACTCATTTCGCATATCATCTATTCTATGAATGGGAGACTCGAGACTGCTGTGCACATAATGTCTAAACAATGGTAGAACTTGCTCTTCCGAGTTTCCAGGTCATAAAAATGCCTTCAATTTGATAGATTAGTCTGAAAAAAAAAATTTACTTAACATCATACATAACCTCTTACGCGCTCGAACCTACGATAGCATCGAAAGCCCAATGAATGTCAGAAGTGATAAAAGTAATTGGAATAGGCAATCTGGAAACATCGGTAATCACGTGAATAATCTGGAGAGACAGCCTCCTTACCTCTGACCTGCACTTCCACTTGGCACATCAAATAACTCCAAACTTAGCTATGGGGAATCGGTGAACGGCTATCAAGCAAAATGAGTACCGTTTTTGGAATCAGCATGATAAATAACCCCCATGATATAAGATTTCAGTACGAGTAGTGATATTCAAAATCAATTAGTTTTACCGATACTTTCTTCAGTCATTTTCCCAACTCCCAGAGAGATGGGGAGGAAGTACATGTTGAAAAAATATTACCCTATTTTCAGGTGTATAAGCCGCACCCTTTTTGCTCTAGACGCGAGCAGACCCAGGCGTGCCGCCGCGCCTACCTCTCGCGGAGCGGTCGCCTTATCGCATACTGCTCTCACTTAACGCGCTCTATGATAACAGTCAGTCTTTTGGCGTGTTCGCCCTTAACGTGAAAAGGGTGCGGCTTATACACCTGAAAATAGGGTAATTACAGGTTGAGGTAAGTAGTGTACACTGTATTTACATCAAGTACGCATTTTTGACGCATGATGTCAATTGGGTATCGTGTCGAGGTCTATACAACAGTAAACCTGAGGCTGCCGGACTTCGCTCAGAAGCGCTCAGAAGCGCCCAAAAACGCCCAAAAGCGACCGCATCTCTCCTCACACGAGTAAGTGAGGAGAAAGAGGAATTTGGGTGCTTCTGTGCGCTTTCGGGCGCTTTTGTGCGAAATCTGGCTGGAGCCTGAAAGAAAGTCGGGGACAATCTGTTGCAAAAGACAACGTCCACCATTCCCCCCCCCCTCCCCTCCCTCGGAGGATTCGCTCCAGGATACACATCATCCTGCGTGAAATGAAGAGTATATGTAGACAATGGCGCAGTATTCAGAACCATCTCAACTCTCAGCATCAAGATATTTTAGAGAGCTTTAAATATGATGATGTCACAAGATTCTGCGAAGTGAGATAGAGAGGTGCTGGTTTAGTGCCTCTGCGCTAAGCGACAACGTTTGTGTGTAAAGAAATGTCATGCTTTCGAGACACAATTTGTTTGCTACCAGTGGCGTACCCAGGATTTCGGCTCGGGGGGGGGGGGCGCGACAAAAAAAAATTTTCGATGAAGGGGCGTGGCGTCAGCCACGCACTCCGAAAAAATTTTTGGTATGCATCCTGAGATTTCCGGCGGCTCAGGACCCCGAAATTTCAGAAAAAGGGGGCGTGGCGTCAGCCACGCCCCCGAAAAAAAATTTTTTTATAAGGCTAAATTGAATCTTATATATAAAGCTGAATGTCTGTTTGTCTGTCTGTCTGTCTGTACAGGGCTTTTCAACCTGAGAGTCGCAAGTTTCGCTTGCGCGGCTCCTCCAACGCGGCCGCCTCGCCCAGGCCGCGCGCGGCGTTTGCTGCGTATCGCCCGGATTTCGCCAAGCTTCAGTCGACGCCCAGCCAGCGCCACGAACGCTGCGCGGACCTAAGCGTGGCGTCCTAGCGGGGCGGGTGGGACACTCAGGTTGTAAAGCCCTGTATGTCTGTCTGTCTGTCTGTCTGTATGTCTGTACGTATGTTCCGAATAGAAAATTCCATTTCTGAACCGATCCGGACCAAACTTGGCAAACATACACTTCGGGCCCCGGCGGGTGTCACAGGCTACTTTTCGTCATCGATCGATATCGATTTTATCGATTTTTATCGATTTTTTTGCTGAGTTCACCTACGGGGCTGGGAGTTGGCACAGGGGGGGAAGTGAGCATGGGGATTCCGAATACAATATTAGTTTTCAGAATTATCGATTACTTTTATCGATTTTATCGATTTTTTGCAAAGTTTGATCTAGGGGGCTGGGAGTTGGCACAGGAGGGTAATCGAGCATGGGGATTCCGAATACAATATTGGTTTTCAGGATTGTCGATTACTTTTATCGATTTTATCGATTTTTTTGCAAAGTTTGAGCTACGGGGCTGGGAGTTCGCACAGGGGGGTAATCGAGCATGGGGATTCCGAATACAATATTGGTTTTCGGGATTATCGATTACTTTTATCGATTTTATCGATTTTTTTGCAAAGTTTGAGCTAGGGGGCTGAGAGTTGGCACAGGGGGGTAATCGAGCGTGCTGATCACTCCCAAGGGGGGTGATCAGCATGCTCGATTACACCCCTGTGCCAAATTCCAGTCCCCTAGCTCAAATTTTCAAAAAATCGATAAAATCGATAAAAGTAATGGACGATCTTGAAAACTAATATTGTATTCGTAATCTGCATGCTCGATTACCCCCTGTGCAAACTCCCAGCCCCGCAGGTCAAACTTTACAAAAAAATCGATAAAATTGACAAAAGTAATGGACGATCCTGAAAACTAATATTGTGTTCGTAATCAGCATGCTCGATTACCCCCCTGTGCAAAATCCCAGCCTCGCATGTCAAAATTTACAAAAAATCGATAAAATTGATAAAAGTAATCGATAATTCTGAAAACTAATATTGTGTTCGTAATCAGCATGCTCGATTACCCCCCTGTGCAAAATCCCAGCCTCGCATGTCAAAATTTACAAAAAATCGATAAAATTAATAAAAGTAATCGATAATTCTGAAAACTAATATTGTATTCGGAATCCCCATGCTCACTTCCCCCCCTGTGCCAACTCCTAGCCCTGTAGGTGAACTCTGCAAAAAATCGATAAAAATCGGTAAAATCGACATCGATCGATAACGAAAAGTGGACTGTGACACCCACCGGGGCCCGAAGTGCATGTGTGCCAAGTTTGGTCCGGATACGGCGGAGCCGGGTAAGCCAGCTAGTTTTCAATAATTTTTAAAAATTATTTTAATTATAAGCTCCTGCAGGACGAAGGCGGTCGGTTCGATGTGCGACGTGGCTGTGACGCGGCTGTGACGCAGCAGTGTCGCAGCCTCGTTGCATATCGAGCCGACCGCCTTCGTCTTGCAGGAGCTTATACTTACAAGTATAAATAAGTCTTTTGCACATTTTTATAACTCATGTAAGTAACTTTCAAAAATTTCGCGACCCATTCTCGGGGGGGGGGGGGGGGCGCCCGCCCCCCCATCGGTACGCCACTGTTTGCAACTTATCATAGATACACCCCACGATCACTGCTTCCGTTGATTGCGTGCGCCCCCCGCTGCGGTATGCATGGCTATCATGTTGGCAACACAACAAATGCTGGCGTTAAAGGCAACGTCCACCCAAAATCTATTCACCTCAGATTGCCACTTATCTCACTAGCAGGCCGCAAAAGAAGACCAACCGCATTGGTCCGGTCTCCTAATGTTGCCTACAAAAGGAGATAACGGACCGGGTCCTTGCGTTCCGCCCCTTCTTTGCGCTCCATCCACCCACGGGTTGCCTGACGTGTTCCGGCATGACAAGCAACGTTGAGACGCATAGTTTGCGATGTGATGTGGCACTGTTGCACATGACGAGGTTTCCTGTAGCATACGACGTGACTAGCGCCGGAACACTCGTCCACATCTGCCAAATTAGGAAAGACGGTCAAGAGGCGCGATTTCTCTAGAGGTCACCACTTCAACAATCCAGTTTCGGCTGGGTTCATACTGAACCGCACAAAGCGGCACAGTTCCAGCACAGCGCTCGAACTGTGCTCCAACTGTGCCGGAACTGTGCTGCATGCGCAGTTGGAGTATTTTGACCGTTTCTAACGGTTTTCCTTTTAGATTTCTCTTATTTCGGGCCTTATTCCTCCACCCCGCTTTTCCTTTTGATGAGTGGAACTCCGAGCGCAAAGCGGGGTTGAGGAATAAGCGCTGTTCTGCTCTGTGTGTCCAATTATGCGTGATGTTCCGCTCGTTCATCGTCTTTTCGTTTTATTCTTGCATAAAACTATTCCATTTGTTTCCAGGAGGCCGCTGCAATATTTTCGCAGGCATTTTTCGTGAAGTAGAGCAAAAAAGTGCAGAAGATCAGGAAATCCCATCAACCTGTTGGCCACTTTTGGGCTCCTAGCCAGTTTTCGTTTTCATTTCATCGTTTTTTCGTTCTTTGTTTTACCTCGC